GTGAAAGGAAGGGCTGTGTATTCCTCCCAAGGGCTGTCTGCTGGAGAGGCATTTCTGTGGCGCCACCCAGTGTGCACTGACGGTCTGTCTCAGCCAGACCTGTCCCCACTGGACCCGACCCCACCTTGCGAGAGCTGACAATGAGCTCTGAGGTGCAGCCTGGACTATACCACCAGACCTCTGGGCTGTCTCCATGCAGCTAGAAAGTCCCCTCCCAGGGCCTGTCCTCCCCAAATTCAGCACCTGGCCACTGCCCACACTAGCAGCCCCACACACGCGCCTTCTGCACTGGTAAGTACAGCGAGGTGGCAGCTGCCAGTGCCTGCCTCTCCCTGCCCTGGCTGCTGGCAAGCCAGCACAGGCACATTCCTCATTAGCAGAGTCCAGGCCCCTGCAGCCCCTCCACCTGTCCCAGCAGTCCTACCAGCGGGCAAGGGGCCTTCCCTCCTTCACAGACCCCTACCAGGGGTGCTGGTCCCATCCTTCGTCCTGATGCTTTTTTCCCCATCCTACCCAGTTACATGGAGATCTTTCTTGCAGCTTTGGTTGAAGAGGAGTTCTTCTGCCAGTTTCCAGTTGGTTTTCTGTAAGAATTGTTCCATGTGTAGATGTATTTTGGATGTATTTGTGGGCGGAGGTGAGCTCCACATCGTCCTATTCCACCACCTTGATCCTCTTCTTTTCCCAGTTCTTTAATCGACCTGTTCCTCTACACGTCCCAGTCAGGAGATGACCTTCATGGGGCCACAGCAGGATCTCCAGGCAATGAGGGCATGACCGTCTCTACTATCTCTGGACTGAGTTTAGAAAGAGGAGGGCAAGGTAGTGGTAGACCTCACATCTTTCACCTTTCCTCCACAGCTCCAGTTTCACTCAAGGCGCCTACATAATAAGGGGCAGACAGGCTCATATGCTGGGTGTTGAATCAACAAAGCTCACTCTGGAAATTCTGTGAACAGTTCTGTCAGAAATGGGTAATTAAAATCCGTTCTTATTAAAACCAGACAGTGAGGCGGCGAGGCTGTGCGGCCTGAGCTCAAGCACTGGGGTTATCTTAGCCCATCTTACTCACCTCTGCAAACCTGTGCTGTGTAAAGAATCAAACCAGATGAGAGGGACACACTTCTGATAAATGAACACACACCAAACCTGTCTTCATTTGGAGTAAAAAGTCAAGCATCGCAATGTGGAGCCACCACCCAGGAGGCAGTCCCTTCGTTGTTGCTCAGGAGGGTTCTGTGGCCAAGAGTTTGGAGCCAGGACACATCCCCAGAGCGCCAAGCTCACGGTGCTCCTTGCTTGCTGAATGAAAATGCAAATGAACGTGACGCTAGAAAGGCAGATCTAAATCACGAAGTTAAGAGCCTTGGGTTCTAGTTCTGGTCATGTCACCGAAGAACTGGTGAGGACAGACTGTTTTTCCCTCCCTGGGCTTCCAGGCCTGCATCAGTAAAACACAGGGCTTGAGCTAGACGGACTGGGGTCCCTCTAAACTCACAAAGTTGGCATTCTCTGATATGCATTAAAGAGTTATTTTCCAGAAATCGACACAACGTTGTAAACTGACTAAACTTCAATACAAAACATTTTTCAAACAGTTGTTTTCCCACGACACTGTGGAATCAAAAATGACTATTTCGATTTAATGAGAGAGCCTGTGGGAGTCCCTTCCTGCAAAATCTTGGCTGTGTTTGCTGCTTGCACTCTGCCCCAAAGATGTATAGCGCTGAATGGAACCACCTCTGCAAACTCAGGCCAAGAGTTGGTCATAATCGCCTCTGGCTGGCTGAGAGTTTTTAGTCAGAAGCAGGATTTTGTTGGCCTGCTAAGGTCAAGAGAACTCCGGTGTGGGCTGATGACTAGCAATGAAGCAGAAGAGAAAGGGGACAGTGGGAATCAAAGAATTCTGGGGGTGTTTCATTTCAAATGCCCTCAAACAACCCTTTATCATTATTTTTTCTTAGTTTGCTATTTTGCAAGGACTATGAGTTCCCTCTGGTCTCAACCAGGTCGGGACAATATAAATGAGTATTTGTTGCTTCAAAGGCAAGTTTAAAGTTTTCAGAAAGAAAGGGGTACTCTGACTGATAGGAGCCGACAATTCATCTTGTTAACAAGGGAAAACTACTTGCCAACACACTGGTTCCACTGGTAGTGCTGGAGGTAGCCCTGGGGGCAGCTGCACCTGTAGCCCCCGATGATGTTCTGGCAGCCGTGCTGGCAGCGATGGTTTCCTTCACACTCGTCCACGTCTGGGAAAGAAGGCAGAGTCACCTTTAAGTCACATCAGCGCTTGATTCTCTGACGCAACATGCACATGCGTGCTAAAGTGAAAGGCAAGTTTAGTAGGAACTCTGACCCCTAAAAACTTACTCTACCACCCAAAATTTTAAGCATATCTCTTCTGGAGCTTTTGGTAAGCCCACAAAGAAAAATGATGAAGACATTAATACAAGGCGCGAGCACACTCCATGGGCTGGCTGTGCGAATTATCCGTATTTCCTTATCTGTGCCAGGATTAGAAACTGAAATGTCAATATAAAGACAAGATCCCCCAAAATATAATTGAAACCTCGAATTACATATTAGCAGAAGAGTTACATTCTTCACATTTTTAATCTACCTTGAGTGAATCCTTTTAAGACTCTGGCTCCGATGACTGGAAAACTAAACTCAGGGATCTAGTTATTTTTCTTGACTGGGTCACTCTTTATGAAGCAGGAAAAGCCTTGATACACATAGGGAAAGCATGTGTTCTACGGGACCCGTGCAGACAGACAAAACACTTCCCATCCTCAGTCCTGATGTCCCACAGAGGGGGCTGGTGAGGTGCTGGCAGCCACTGAGGCCACCTCCACGAGGCCCAACCAGCTGGATCAAGCTGAGGGCTCCACCCACCTTCACAGCTGGCACCAGTCTGATCAAGTGAGAATCCCCGCTGGCATTCACAGGTGAAGCTCCCAGGAGTATTCTGGCAAATGCCCTTAGCCCCACACAGGTTGATGTCAGTGGTGCATTCGTTATTATCTGTAAGAAGCAGTGGGGAAAGGAGAGAGTCTTTGTGTTGTTTAAAAGGAAGAGAGAAGGGTGGTTTGCTCAGAAAAGGCCAGATACAGCCAATAACTTTTCATATACATGGATGCACATACACACAGACATGTATTCACATTTTTTTGAGGTTACTCTTATTCCAACAGCAGAAGCACTCAATTCCTTGGAGGAACAGCTACACTCCATTTGGGGTCTCCCCCTCCCACTTACCAATGCAGGCTGTGTGGTGCTGGGTAAATCCAGGAGGACATTTACATGTGAAGCTGCCAATGGTGTTAACACATAGGAACTGGCAGTTGTGCTGCTTAGTTGCACACTCGTCGAGATCTGTAAGAAAATGCAAGACGGGCCGTTGGAATTGAGCTGACAGCCCGGGACCTAGAAGCTGCCCTACGAAGCAGCTCTGAGTTTTCATTTCTATGTCTCAGATGACCCTGGCCAGCACAGAGCCACAGCAAATGGCTAGGAGGAACCCAGGAGATAAGGGCCTGAAAGATAAAAATATGGTTTCAGTCTAGACCAAAAATGCAGTTCTTCAGGGGAATCCAAGGAAAACCCAATTCCCTTCAGTTATAGGAATGCAGAAATTGCAAATAAA